GAGCTAAGTGTATTCAGTGACGAAATGAACCTATCGATAACTTCTCTGTGTCAGCTTGAACCCCAATGGTTCATGTTAGCCCCAAACAATTAAGGTCTCAAATTACGGTATCTGATTGGAACTTCCTTCATTCTTTTGACAGGTGGCTGTTGACATGACCAGCAGAAAACACAATCGTCACTATCATTTCTGACTAACTGCATCACTGTAGTAAGACCTAACAACTCTGATCAGCTTTACTTTTTTCAGTCTTGTTTTGGGTTCTAATGTTTTAGAACATTTCTGAGTGATTAGCCACACAGGTCTATAAATATCGATGCCTTTCATGATTGTATTCTCAGTACTTGGCCTAACATATAGCACATAGAAGACCCTCAATAAATATCGATGGAGTCAATGAGCAAGTGAATGAAGGTTCCAGGGAGAGAAAAAAGTGACCACCCAGTGTCCCTGCGCAGAGGGAGTATCACACGCTACATGCCAAGGACCCTTTTGACAGGCGCTAGAGCTGCAGATTCCTTCTGGGAATAATGTTCTGAAACATACACCTCTACAGAAAAAGCCAATTATTCTGAAATACAAATGTGAACTAGGAAAACATTGTGACATCATCACAGACATGCTGCTATGGTACAGTCCCCGCTTGCCAAGTCACACAGCCCTCCCTGCAGAGTTCTGGTGGGACTGGTTCACTTTTGAAATTTCCATCTGAGAGAATCTGTGATTTTTTTGTTCTGGGGTTCTCAGACAGGAATCTTCTGTACCCCCATCTGGGAAGCCACTGTGCTCAGAGACAAGAGGTGGAAAGAGGCCTGGGCTCTGCTCTGGGTGTGTCCCTTTTCACTTTCTCCATTATTTTCCTTAAGGTGTCTTTACCTCAGCTGAACCCAGAGTCTATCGGTCTAACCTCTTCAGTCTTCTCTGAGGTGAGGAAGTAAATGGGGTGGAGATGGAATCAGGGGTTACTTCTGTTTCATGCAGACTCCTGACGCATCCTCCTGGGCCCTGCTTTACCTGCACTTCTAGTTTGAGGGGTGTCTGGAGCCCCTAATTCCTAAGCATTTCTCGGGAGTCAGAAGTGCCAAGGAGCCTGCTCTTAGGCCTCTCACCTTACTGGCTTAATCCAGATGTTCTGTGGATGTACCAAAATGTGGTTGCTAATATCTTCTCTCCCTTTTGAGTGTATTCCTATCTTACCCTTTTGATTTTGCTTTAGTAGGGTTTATTGAGGAAGCAACAGCAAACATAATCTGGTACATTTTATGAGGCTATAACTAAAATTTTTATAAGAGTAAAAATGTTATAAAAATGAAACTTGAAAGTAAATTTCTCAAAATTTACCTAATTTATAACTATGATTTTTCTATCAAAGATAATTTATTGTTATTACCACAGCTTCATGAAGGCAGAGATCATCTGCATTTTATGTATCACTACATTGTCTAATACAGTAGAGGTGATCAATAAATTGATTAAGTAAACTGAATAAATACAGATATGATACAAAAATTGGGATCTTTAGTTTTTATGATTTTACCACTTATCTCACTTACTCAGAGCTGCTATAGCAATATTTCAAAAAGCAATCAGAAATATATATACAGATTAATTATCCTTCATCTAAAGTGCTCAGGACCAGAAGTATTTCAGGTTTCAGATTTCGTTTTTCCACATATTTATGCACATACATATGTATTAATGATACCTTGAGAAATTCATTTGTTTCATGTATAGCTAAGTGTATATTACATACAATGTTTTAATAGTTTTGTGCATGAAACAAAGTTCATGTGCACCAAAGCTCAGAAAGCCAAGGTGTCTCTCTTGCGGCCATCCATGCATGTAGACCATCGGTGACTGTCTGGCACCATCACTGCTCCTAGGAATTTTCATGTGACCAACAAACAATCATGTTCTTATACTTGTTCACACATAAGTACTAAATAGTAAAAAATATGACATGGCCTTAATACTGTGGAAAACCACGAGTTCAGAGTTACTAAGCAGCAATGGCACTGTCGCCAGAACCTGTGTCGTCCACTAAGCAGTGGGGGCTTCAGTGTCCACCTATGATGCTGGGTTTGGCTAAAGGATTACTGTGAACTTTATTTCTTGGTGAGAAGAAACATCAGAAGCAGGAAGCAGGTTGTCGGGGGAAGAGGAAGCATTTTAAAATGTTCCTGCAGGGTCTTCTGCCTCACTGGCAACGATCTGTCTTACAGGTCTCTCTGGTTTTCGTGTTCTGCTGGGAATCCGTGCTGCTCGTCCCCCAGTAAGACCTCTGTGCTCTCTCACCATGCTGTCCAAAGGCATTTTTGCTGCAATGTTAATGTCGTCTCCATTGTCACTATTACCATAATCATCTTTTTTTGGGGTACTTGTGATTGAACTCAGGGGCACTCAACCACTGAGCCACATCCCCAGCCCTGTTTTGTATTTTATTTGGAGACAGGGTCTCACTGAGTTGCTTAGTGCCTCATCATTGCTGAGGCTGGCTTTGAACTTGTGATCCTCTTGCCTCAGCCTCCTGAGCTGTGGGACCATGATCATCTTGATTCAGACCTATTTAAACTATTTTACATCTGTCAATGAACAACTAGAGCTTCGTTACTGATGTTAAAAACTTATTTGATATTTCTTTCAGCTTACTGTCAGACTCTAAAGATACTTTTTTTTTTTCAAGTGTAAGGAATTCAGATAGCTTGTTTTTCTCACTTAACAGATGGAATCCTCAAAGTCGCCACCTTGTTCATCATCATCACTGAACCCAGTCACAGGCCAGGAGCTGTGCCAGGCATGCCCATCTATGTCTGCCATCACCGTGTTCCAAGTGTTGGCAACAGCACACACAGTGCCTTCATGCTCAGCTCCTGCTGAAAACTTCCACACTCACACAGCTGTTCCCTGCTGCCAGCATGCTGTTTACAAAAATGTTTTATATTTATTCTTTAGTCACTTAAGGAAGCTCTGGTCACATGGCTAAATTAATCAAGCCACATTTAAGGAAAGTACTTGGCATAAACATTATTTGTGAGCAGTTCAGCAGAAGGTGAGCACACAAGATCTTGCAGTCTTCACCCGGTCCAGCTTCCCTGCAATGAGCACGAACAGCTGGCACAAAACAGGAAACCAACACAAAGAGGTCCCTCATGCCCAGGCCTTTCTGTTAGCATAATAACAGACCAGCAAGACACTCCCTCTTTAAAACCTTGGTCCACCACACCACGTTGACGCTATGTGTACCTGCTTCAGTAGAAGGTCCTGGCACAGTTATTATCTTCTCGGTCCTTAATTCCTTTGGGGCTGTCTCATCAGCTGTGCCAGTGACTCTCTGGGCAGTGACACCCAAACAGTGATGTTTCCTCAGGATTTCAGACTTGTTCTGGCATCAGATTTTCCTCTGCGATGACCTTGGCAAGCTTGTCTGTGAATTTCTCTGCTGCTTTGTGATAAGAAGATGCTTCATCACCACAAATCTTTAAAAATTTAATGCCGTATCTCAAATTTCTGCAACTAGTCTGTTGAAGTTCATGATAACCTCAGTTCTCAGTCCGTGGGGATGAATCTTTGTTTCATGACCAACATTCCATTAAAGGGCACATGATCACTGTGATGCTAATGGACCCACTCAATACACAATCGAGACCTTCATATTTGCCTTTGTGCAGTGATTATCTATTTTTTACCAACTTCTTTTTGTCACTTTCACACAGAACTTCACCCGTTTGTCCCTCCAACCCTTTAGGTGGTATGCAGCAGCCACTGCAACACCGTGTTCTTTGGTAAGACATTTTGCTCCTGCATTGCTCTGCAGTTTCTCTAACAGCTTGACTTTCTCTGCTAGAGATAAACAAATGGCTTCCTCTTTTTCTTATCATTGTTACCCATACAAGTGTTCACAGACCTTTTTGACATTTTCACCAATATCTTTATATCACAGAGCACAGAATACAAAAAATAAAAATTAAAAAAAAAACAGTTGGATAATGCATGTAGGGTAGGTATAGATGCCACGCGGGCATTGCGGGGCACCTGTCCTTAGCATATGGGGCCCACACATGTGCTATGTTATCCTTTGTGGATGGTGGATATGTGTGAAAAGACATATCACACCTGAAGGAGGCTGAGACGGTCTCATGTTCTTTGGGGGCACTGAATAAACTGCACTGCGTGTCTGTGTTTTGACTATGACCTATCACACCAGGTCATGAATTTCTTCCCATCTGGCATCAGTGGGTGCTCAGAAAGTTTTGGATTTTGGATTTTCAGATTAGGGATGCTCAACCTGAACCTAATATAGGAGACAAGAATGGTATATTGTATAAAACAAAGTCCTACATTACAAAAATTTTATTGTGATTTTGCATTCTATACAAATAATTTCCCGAATAGAAACACAATCAGCATTCAAATTCACTTAGTTATCCTAAGTGATCAGTAGTGTAAAAATAAAATTTTTATTATGACTGCATCAAATATTTAATATCAATGAATAGGTATATATTAGCTACTACATGTTGGTTCATTTTGAGCAAAAACCCATCAAGATTATCAAAGAATGAATTCTAGTACAACCTTGTCATTCTTATCAATTGAATTCAAAGGGACATCACAGCATGTCCCGCTTCGTAATCATAATGTAAGTTGTATGTGCTTTGTTTTGTGATTATTTGTTGGTCACCATCTAAGCCATAATTCTTCAAAAGGCCAAATGGCTAATATTTTAGTTAGTTTACAGATTTTATGGGGAAAGGTATAATTGTTTTTCTTTAAACTGAAGAATTCTGATGCATCCATCAAAGGTTTACAGCAAATCTAACAGGATGGTTTGACAGTAATTTTAAACTAAAAATCTTTATAGTCACTCATTCCTTTAAACAAAGTTGCATGGAGCCCATAATCCATAGGGTATTGTCCTATTAAATGTTTATTCTATAGCTAATTTTCATCCTTGTTTACACTCTGCTATTACTAACTTCAAATTAAAATATAATACTCACTTCATCAGCCACAAACTCCTTACTCAGACCAAAATCTGTCAGCACCACATGGCCATTAGAATCAAGTAGAATATTCTCAAGCTTAATGTCACGGTATATAATCCCCAACTGTAAAAACAAACAAACATGCATTTTAAAATAATTTCCAAAAAATTAATTAGGACAGTCTTATCTACATTAAAAAAAAAAAAAAGCATTTCCCTCCTCAGATCCTGTGGCTCCTAATGACCATCAGGGCAAATGTAAATGTCTCCTTGTCAGGGCCATCTGCTCAGTTCCCCAGAACTCTGCAACCCCATCTCCAGTATCTTTGTAGAGAGGACCTCCACCTGTTGGACCAGCTTCTTAGTATCTCCCTGCTGACTCTTGCTTCTTCCTGTCCCTGCAGATGATCTTCAGGGGCCTTCTTAGCCAATCCTTGTCCATTATTTCCTAATGGCTTCAGAAAGCTTTCCCACTAGCCAGGTCCCTCACTGGTCACTGGTCATTCCCTTCTTTTTCATCCTATACCACCTATGTTTATATTGTACTTACCTATAGGGGAATAATATTTTCTAGGCATTTCCTGTTTGTCTTGATAAATTTATACTCTAACTCAACTTTTCACTTTTTTTGAGCATTTCTCCGGTATCCAGAACAATGCCATGTGTCAAATAGATAATTAATAAAGACTTGTTGAACAACAGACTCTTAAACATAAAGGTTAAAGATCATAGATTAATTTTAGTTTATCTTTAGTTCTAAATGTGGAAAACAAATCAATTAAATAACATTTACAGAGTCATGCATTGCTTAATGACAGGGAGTTTCATTAGGAGGTCCTGGGATTGGGCAGACATTGTAGGGTACTTACATGAGGCTACACAGTAGAGCCTACTCTACACCTAGACTATAGGAACAGCCTGCTGCTCCTGGGCCACGATGCACAAAACAACACGAAATCAAAATGAGCTTAAGAGAAAATGATTATATGGTAAACACAAGATGTTATGAAGCTGATGCCAGTATAACACAGCATACTGTCTTACAGAAAAACCTTTTTTAAACAAGCAGGAGTACATTCTCAACAGTCATTTATTATTATTACCAAGTATTACCAAGTATTATTACCAAGTATTACTATATTTAATTGTATGTCATACTTTTATGCAGCTGGCATGCTGCCATTTGTTTTCACCAGCACCACTGTAGTCACTTGAGTAACGAGGTGCATTATGACAGTGATGACATCACCAAGTAATAGGAACTTTCAGCTCCACTAGGATCTTATGGAACCACTTTGCATGTATTGTCTGTTATTGAAATGTTGTTACATAGCGCATTCTCTTTTCTGTTTTGCATGTAAGTTTTATAGTAAAACAATTCAAGTATTACATAGAAATATCTACCTAAGTTACGAAAAGAGGTGTTTGATCTACATGAATGTTGTATTTCATGTTTTTAGTTAGTCAGCCTGGATGAAATATTTTTAAACTTAGAAATCCTGCTTTCCTCAACACTAAGTATCTAAAAAAGCAGATTCTTCCTTAATAGCTCTCAAAAGTGAAATCAAAATTACACAAAGAAGAATACTAGGCAATTTTCCTCCAGTATCTTCAGTGTTTTACGTGAAAGATAGGAAGGAAAACATCTGATGTCTATACTGAGCAGATATTTAACTTAAGCATTATTCACATCTAACAACAGTAGTATGTTTTGTTTTTTTTTTTAGCAACTTCTTTGGAAGAGAGTTTTAGGAACAAATAATTTACTATCTTTTTTATTTCATTACTTTCAAGTAAACTCCCATTTTTGTCTCTTTCCAAGAAATCCAGTGTTAGTATCTATATTAAAATTAATTAGGGGCTGGGGTTGTGGCTCAGTGGTAGAGCGCTTTCTTAGCACACGCGAGGCACTGGGTTCAAACCTCAAAAATGAAATAAAGACATTATGTCCACCTACAACTAAAAAATAAATATTAAAAATATTAATACTGTTGGCTTTGTGTTATATGAGTTTTCTTAAAATATTAAGATAAAGATAAAATGAGCTGAGTTTGATTTACTATATTACTTCATCCCATGTCAACTCTATTTAGATTCAATATTCATTATGTTTCTATTTCCATGTTTCTTGCCACTGTTAAATAGTAAAATGAATGTTTGTGGATTTTCCTTTTAATAAACAGAATGAATAGAATTAAAGTTCTGCATAAATTAAAAACTGAATTTCCTATCTTATTCATTGGGGCTTGGTGCTATGTTTATGCTGGTTTTTATAATAAATCTGCCATCACTTTTACATTATTAAATATGACATTTAAAAAATAAATCTCAAAGATCTTTGAAGCCTATTCCTGGATTTGATTTGTTTCTTATGCAAAAATGTGTTAACTACTTTAAATCACACAAAAAAAAATAAGCATGAAGCTTGTCACCATACTGAAAATCCTACCAAAGAAAGCGTCAATGTCTGTCTGCAACCTCAGTGGACCCCACTTCCCTGCTCTGCAGGCCTCCCCCTGCCAGTTCCCCCATGTGTTCCCCACTCTTCTCTTGATTCCTGCCTGGACTGCCTTCTTCCACCTGTCCGGTCTCGGTTCTCTTCTGGCCTGGGTGCTCCCTTCCTTGACCCTAGGCCTTCCAGAATCTCTTCTCTCAGCCTCTCCTCTATCCACCGCCTCTGTCTTGCTGCTTGGATCTGCCAATCCCTTTAAACTTCCTCCTCCTCCTCGCCTTTTCCCTTCTGTTCTCTCTTCCTTCCACGCTCTATGATCAGTACTTCAGTCTCTGCTCATCCTATGCTAGGGCAGGGCTTGAATATGACAAGACAAAGAAAAGCAGCTTCATGATGTACCTGTACTGCCATAATTCAGTGGCTCGAGTCACACTGTGTCCTGGGGTCTCCACAGCCTCAGGAAAAATTACTTCCTAGACCTGAGGAAAAACACACAAGCCCCGGCTACATAATGACTATTTGCTTCTACAATAATGCTTCCTCATTATCAAAAAAAAAATTAAGTCAAAACTTCATGGATCAAGATGAATGGCATCTGTAGTAACATACAAAAAGTTCAAGTTGATTTGTGTACGTTCAAACATGGTCATGGACACAAATTCCATTTAAAGGATTTAGTAACAGTTCATGCTACATGTAGGCAATGGAGGAGGAGAGCAGGGCAGGGCAGGAGAGTGGGTGTCAGGGACAAAACAAATGGAAAAGAAAGCAGCATGAAGGGGGCAAGAGCTATTCTCCAACCCCCGCAGGAAATACACCCTGACAGGGACAGCAGAGACGTGATGGAGGAAGTCACAACTGAGGGAGTACAGATTATGACTTGTGGCTTCATTTTATAGGTCATTTTAAGAATTAAAAGCATTTTTCTAATGATACTTGTAATAAATAAAACATTAAGGTTTTATTCATGGGGAAAGTAAAGAAATCGTTCAGGTTCTTCCTTCCTGATCTGACTCCCAGCAACTACGATAGCAAAGGAGGTTTTTTTTTAAAAAAGGGAACTATGAGAAAAGTGGTAACATTCTGGAAGTACGCTCTCAACAACCTCCATGACAGTGACATGTGTAAACACTAGCTGCATCAGGACTTCAATCAATAGGTTGTTCAAGGGGAAGCTCCGGAGATGAAGCATCTTACCTTATGCAGATGTTCGAGGGCAAGTACAATCTCTCCAACATAGATCTGCACCTCATGCTCTGTGAAACGCTCTCTTTGAGAAAGATGAGTAAAAAGTTCTCCACCATTTATATAATCTAAAAATGAAATATATTTTTTCTTTCTTTCACTTGTATTCATAAATGAAAGGAAGTATTTCCTTTTAATTACTCCGGATTAACCATAAGGCATTGATTTTAATAGACTGGTTTTTGTAAAACTCTTAAGTGTATAGTATACTGTTTTATTTAGAATTTATTACTAAATTCATATAGTAATACAATTTCATAAAATAATGATAACTCAAATCAACTTGAAAAAAGCATTGCCATTAAAACTATTACATAAAATCATACATATTTCAATACGTTTCCCAAATACAGCATATCAGAAACCTATTCCATCACTGTACAATGGATATATAACTTACTATGAAGTGCCAAACACCAGCCCTACGGCAACCAAAGCAAAAAACAAAACACAAAATCCTAGCTTGTCAGCTGTGATAGTTGCCAGCCAGCTGTGCACAGATTCTTACTTTCCAGAATTGCCAATGCACACTTTCAAAATGTGTATTAGGCAGAAGGTAGCCTTCCTATTGCTCCTTTGAGCCCCATAGTCAAAGTAACACAATGTGGCTGAATCAAAGCACCCAGAACCAGAAGATTCCATTTCCCTTTCAGTTTGCCCTACTCATCCCAAGGGGAATAATAAAAGAAAAATGGTTACATTAAGAAATTAATAAGGGGACTAATTAAAAAAACTATGTTGGTAATTGGTTGTAATAAGACATTTGTTGAAAAACTGATAAATAAATGTTTTTTTATTTTAGGTAATAACTATGGGTTAATGTTAGAAATAATTCAAAATCATACAGGATAAAAAACCTTCTGCAAAAAATTTTAAACTACAGTTTCATCAGAGACTAACTATTGCTACATTAACATACATTTGTGTGTGAGAAACAACATTTAGAAAAGTCACTAATTAGCTTAAGCATTTCTCCTGAAAAATCTGAAAAGCTTGTATCCCAGTATATTCACTATCAAGTTTACAACAATTTGATAAAAGACAAAGCAAATTCTTCATAAACTCATATTTCTGAAAATCTTATCCATTCCAGAAAGCAGATGCAATAGAATTACAGAATGCTAACTGCTAATTGTTTTGCAATACTTTTTCAAAGCCCATGTCAGCATTTTCCATCTAAGGTGTCTGTATTTTGCCAAGGGGTTTTAATTATATCTGAACACAAAGCTAATTAATAAAAAGGTGTAAAAGAACATAACATTCCTGTAAACTAACAATGAATTTTGCTTCCTTTTAAGTACTTATTTACTTAAACCTGATACTGGTGTCGATGCATAAATGGTTTTCCTCCTCAGTCATGGCACCCATCTACCCACTACCAAACTCCAATGTTCAATCATTTTATCTTTTAGGGCCACTCCAGCAGAGTTGATCACTTCTTCATAAGTTATCATCATACTTATTAAAGACTTTCACCACGTAATTATCTTGCTGGGACACAGAAAGTGCTTTCTATTCCATTTACTGGGGAAACTGAGAAAAAGTAACCATAAATGGAAACAGACCGATAGATAACATCATCAAGTACCGGACTTCTTACCTTTGGAGGATTAACCTTGGAGCCCAAAATAAAATCCTGTGGTAAGTAATGCTGTTTTCTAGGTATGTGCTATTTACTTTTACAAGCTGTTAGCAAACTCTACTCAGGGGTCCAGGCTGTAACAGTGGTGAAGTGGATGCCAAGGCTGCCAAAGAGGTGTAACAGCAGAAGCTATGGTACCTGGAGGGTCATCAGGGGTAAGTGCTATAATTAATGGCAGAAATGTGAGAAGCTAGTGGGAACCTCTTTAAGGTAAGCAATTGGTACTGTCTTCATAATTCTGTGGTATATCTCATTATGGTTTTAATTTGCCACTTTCCTGAATAAAAAGATTACTTAGCATTTTTATATGCCTTATTGAACATTTCCATATCTTCTGTTGTGAAGTGTCTGTTTTGTTTGTTTGTTTGTTGGGGTGTGTGTATATGTGTGTGTGTGTATTTGTGTATGCATGTTTGCATGCATGCTTCTGTGCCTATTTTGTTTTTCTTTTCTCTTTGAGATATAGTTCACATACCGTGAAATTCACCCACTTTAAGTGTAAAACTCCATGGTGTTTAATTTATTGAGTCGTGCTACCGTCACCATAATCAATGGTAGAACATTTTTATCACCCACAGAAACTTCAATTCATCTATGTCTTCTTTACCTGTTTGTGATTTTGGTTTTATGTCTAAGAAATCATTGTCAAAACCAATGTCACAAAAAATTCCTGCAATGTTTTCTTCTAAGAATTTTATAGTTTTAGCTCTTTAGTCTTTGATCATTTGGAGTTAACTTGTTTATGTTAGGAGGTCTGGGTCTAATTTTCCATTTGCAAGAAGCTTTCCAGTTGTTCCAGCATCATTAATTGAAAAGACTGCTCTTTCCCCATTGTCACTCTTGATGAAAAATCAATTAACTGTCAAAATTCAATTTTTGTATGTTGTTCTTATGTATTCTGCAATGTAAGTTTTCTTCCTTCCCTTTTGTGACTTCTTCTAGCCTACAATGTCAAATGAAGTGGTAAAAGTGAATATTCTATCTTTGTTCCTGATTTTAGGAGGGAAGCATTTGGTTTCTCATCATTAAGCATTAAGCTGTGGATTTTTCATGGATGCCTTTACCAGATTGAGGAAGTTCACTTCTATTCTTACTTTGTTGAGTGTTTTTTATCATGAAGGAATGTTGAATTTTGTCAAGTGTTTTTTCTATGCCTACTGAGAGAATTATATGGTTTTGTTCTTTATTCTACTGATCCGTATATTAAACTGATTGATTTTTGTTTATTAAACCAACCTTGCATTCCTGGGATAAATTTCACTTGGCCATGATATATCATCTTTATTATACAAGTTGTAAGACTCAGTTTGACATAATTTTGTTGAGGATTTTTCCATTTATATTCTTAAGAGATTTTGGTGTGAAGTTTTATTTTGTCTGGTTTGGGTATTGAGGTAATACTGTCTTCATAGGACAACCTGGGAAGTGTTCTCTCCTTTTCTATTTTTTTGGAAGAGTTTGTGAATAACTGGTATTGTTCTTTAAATGTTGGGTAACATTCACCAGTGAAGCTGTTTGGGCCCTGGCTTTTTTCTTTATATATATATATATATGTAATTGGACACAATACCTTTATTTTATTTTTTATTTTTATGTGGTACTGAGAATCGAACCCAAAACCCCGCAAATGCAAGTACAGGTGAGCGCAGTACCGCTAAGCCACAACTCCAGCCCCCCTGGCTTTTCTTTGTATGTAGTTTTTATTATAAGAAGTAGTAGTAGTAGTGGATTAGTAGTAGCGTAGTAGTAATAGTAATGATAATAATAGCAGTTCAACATCTTGTCATAGGCCTATTCAGAATTTATATTTATTCTTGAGTTCAAGTAGTTCATACCCTTATAGGAATTTCCTTATATCACATAATTTATCTAACATGAAATGCCACTGGGCTGGGGCTGGGGCTGGGGCTCAGCTGTAACGCACTTGCCTGGCATGTGTGAAGCACTGGGCTTGGTTCTCAGCACCACATATAAATAAATACAATAAAGGTTTATCAACAATTAAACAAAAAAAAGAAAAAGAAAAGAAAAAGAAATGCCATGATAAAAACAACTTAACTGAATGTTATTAGAGTTGTTCATGGTATTCTCTTACAATCCTTTTTAATTCTATAAGGTCAGCAGGAATGTCCCTTCTTTCAAGATTTTACCAACTTGAACCTTATTTTCTTGGTCAGTCTGGCTAAAGGTTTGTGAATTTGCTGATCTCCCTGAAGAAATCACCTTTTGGTTTCACTGATTTTCTCTATTGTTTCACAGTCTTTGACTTATTTTCTCCTAATTTTTATCATTTCCCTCCTTCTGTTTGATGTGGGCTTAGTTTGCTCTTCTTTTTGTAGGTGTTTTAAAGTAAAATATTGGTTTACTGATTTGGGATCTTTCTTTTTAAAAATTGAGGCAACTATAGATATAAATTTCCCAATAAGCACTTCTTTAACAGCATCCCAAAAGTTTGGGTATTTACTGTCTTCATTTTCTCTCATCAAAATATTTTATGATTTACTTCTTCTTTGGTATGTTGCTTATTTAGGGGTATGCTGTTTAAGTTGCACATAATTGTGGATATCCCAAATTTCCTTTTGTTATTTATTTCTAATCCTATTATGTTTGGTCAGAGAATGTACTCTTTATGATTTTAGTCTTCTTGCATTTATTGACTTTTTAAAATAGTCTGGCATATGTCCCATCTTAGAGAACATCCCATGTGCACTTGAGAACAATATGTATTCTGCTGTTGTTGTTTACCAAGTTCTATAGATGTCTGTTATGTCTAGGTGGTTTTAGTATTGATCAACTCTTCTCTTTCCTTGTTGACCTTTCTCCTAATTGTACTTAAACATTATTGAAAATGGGATATTATTGTTAAATTATCCATTTCTTTCTCCATTCCTTTCATATTTTGGGGTTTATGTTGTTAGGTTAGCATACATTTACAATCTTCCTGATTTGTCCTTTTATCATTATAAAATGTCTCCTTTTAATGTATAATGGCATTTTTAAAAATATCTGTTAAGTCTGATGTTTCTTGTAGTTGCTGTTTAAAGATTTACGTTTTGCCATCCTTTTCCCTCTAAATAATTTGGGTATTTGAATCTATAGTTTGTCTCCTGTAAATAGTACACAGTTTAATCTTATTCTCCCCAGTCTGACAATTTGACTTTTGATTAGAATAGTTAGCCATTCACATTTTATGTTACTATTAATCCAATAGCTGATTTTATGTCTACCATTTTATTTTTTTTGTTTTTTATATATCTTTTTGTACCTCTATTCTTCCTTTCTTCCCTTTTTAAACTGTGGTGACTATTTTCTAATGTAACATTTTAATTCAAGTAGCGAATTTTCTTTTTTTAATTCATTTTTGTAGTTGTAGATGAACAGCATGTCTTTATTTTGTTTATTTTTATGTGATGCTAAGGCTCGAAC